AAAACGCTTTCGTTTACATATAAAATATTTAGTGTATAAAATCATACTAAATTGCGCTTAAAAGCTTACGCTTTTACACTTTTAGTTCACCAAAACGCCTTATGCTTTTATGCTTCTAGTTCACTAAATATGTATACTTTTCATGATATTAATTATAAACAATATATTTTTGAGGTAAATCACCAACAATATTATACATTTGAGATTAAAAGATACATATCAGGTACTTGGTTGCATTCTCAGCTTCAATAGAGTAAAATCTAATTCACCAGCTAGCCCCTTCCCAAATTCATTAGGATAGAGGGGAAGGTAGCTTATTGTTAATATCTATGATTTTGAACATATTTTTAAGATGCTATCAGTTGCTTTATTTTAGACATGAATTGCAAGTACTTATTAACTTATCTAAATTCTGCGCACTCATATTTTACATAGCATATGTCGTACTTAACAGAATTTTTAGTCATTTTTTAGTGTAAAAAACTTATGCTTTTTCGCTTTGATTCTACGTTTTACGATTTTATCCATTTTCCGCTTCTAGATAGGATCGCGCTTTTTACTACATTGGTTCCTAAAATATACCAGAAAACTCATTAAGCTGGCCATAACTCTGATGAAGCATACCAGAAAAACAAGAAACCACACCAAAAACCTTACGAAACTTGCACAAGTTTCTTGAAGCAGATAAAAACTCACAAAACTTACCGCAATTATCATCAAGAGCTCCTATTGACAGACTTCTCTTCTCTCCGCCAAACAAGAAACAACTACATACAAGGCAGGAATGTACTAGCGTTTCTATTCAGAGGAGAAAAAAGATAGAGTTGAGATGTAACACCCTAGACAAATCCCACATCGACAAAGCACGGGAGAGATCCATGGTTCATAAGTAAGAAACCGACCTTAATCGACAAGATGCGTTTTTGGGGTGAAATCAAAGAGGTTTTGTGAGAACTCTGAAGTTAAACGTGCTCGGTGTGGAGTATAACAAGGATGGGTTACCTTATGGGAAGTCACCTTGAATTTCACCCCAAGTCAAAAACCGTGAGGGTCTAGGCCCAAAGCGGAGAATATCTTGCTCGGGAAAAGTTTTGGGATGTTACAAGTGGTATCAGAGCCTCTCTGCATCCCTCTTGAACGATGGTGGGGCAAACCTCAATGAGCGCGTTGAGTCCCAGGAGGGGTGTATGTAACACGTTAGGCAAATTCCACATCGACAAAGCACGGGAGAGGTCCATGGTTCATAAGTTAGAAACCGACCTTAACTGACGAGACGTGTTTTGGGATGAAATGGAAAAGTTCTTGTGAGAACTCCGAAGTTAAACGTGCTTAGTGTGGAGTACAACAAGGATGCATGACCTTATGGGAAGTCACCTTGAATTGCACCCCAAGTTGAAAACCGTGAGGGTCGAGGCCCAAAGCAGACAATATCTTCATCGGGAAAAGGTTCGGGATGTGACAAATGCTATCAGAGCCTCTCTGCGTCCCTTTTGAATGGTGGTGGGGCAAACCTCAACGAGGGCATTGAGTCCCAAGGGGGGGGGGTGTATGTAACACCTTAGGCAAATCCTACATCGACAAAGCACGGGAGAGATCCATGGTTCATAAATAAGAAACCGACGTTAACCGACAAGACGCGTTTTGGGGTGAAATGGAGGAGGTCTTGTGAGAACTCTGAAGTTAAACGTGCTCGGTGTTACATGAGATATCTATAAATAGCAGGGCGCTGGTGTGAAGTGACCGGAGGAATGGTAACGATAGCTATTTGAGTATTGCAATCCCATTTTGGATAATTTCAAAGAATAATCCAATAATGTTGAAAAGCAAAAACTTTGTTACTATTCTCTTACTGTATATCGATCTTGCCTCAAATTCTTATTAATTTATTTGTACATGAGTGAGAAAAGTAAAAATACACAAAAATAACAAAAGAAAAAATTAAGGTTTCCAAAATAGTACCACATCAATACGGTTTGTGCCACTCACTAAATTCCTCTCGTCCATATGCTGAACTCTCTTCCAAGCATTCACTTGGTGATAATCATCATTCGCGATTCCATTGAATCCTTAGTAAGAGTTGGTGGGAGATCACGTCTTGATGTTCAAACGATATCCTATCCCACAACTTCGTGGAATTGATTGATGTCAACCACTCCATCTTCTTATTTCGATACTAAGCTTGCACAATGTTTCAACTTTACCTGCTCGCAAATTGGTTCCTCTCTTGATTTACATTTTTTCGTCTTCAAAGATGATTAGTAGCATTTTCTTGGAACCTGTGTAGTATCATTTCCAATTCTATTTTCACAAGTGAAAACGGAGACAGAAACATGTTTAATTATGTTTTCATCTGTTGTTGTAGCAATATAACAAAAATTAGCTGAAAACAGTGAAATCACTTTAAATAGCTTTCATGCGTTTCCAAAATATGTTTCTTATGGAATTTTATAAGTTGTTGGAATAATTTCATTCAAATTATTCTATGACCAAAACTTAGTAGACCCACTTTCTACCTTTTTCTCTCTCTCCATTTTCTCGTAGTTGATCCTTGAAACATTATTGCCAATATTATTTTCATATTTCTCTCTCAATTTTCTTATAGCTTGTCATGCCACACTATTCCTCACATTATTTTTCTACTTTTGTCTTAGTCTCAACATTGATACTAAAGGGGCATAAAGAAATAACTCAACGCGATTCTATTTATGGTTGTTAACTTCTATGATTTCTCAAAATCACCAACTAAATCGGTTCTTTTTCTTTTTTATTTTCATACTTTGCGATTGTACATTTGTTGAATTGTTGACACAACTTTACCGCAACCACAACAGCAACAAAACTATACTAAATGGCCCCTTAGCATAGAACTACTGTTGTTTTGTTTAAGTTTGTGTATACCAAGATTTGCAAGTGACTAAAGTCCTTTATGTTTCTAGTTCTCCCACATTTTTACGAAGGAGGTGGTTACTCTCAAGTAGAAGTGTACAATGATTTTATCTGTATCTAATTGTATAGGACCAAACCAAAGTTTGGATTGGATACCGAACAAATTATAATGTGGTTAAGAAAATGGATCGATTTGACAATTTATAAGTACGGAAGAAAAATGAATCAAATTGATAATTTGAATGGGATCTAACCAAACCAAATTCAATGTTGATAGTTGATACAATCATGGATCCTAAAATGTCTTTCTTCCAGGGTTAATTACATGGGTGGTCACTGAGATTATGAAAAACGTTCATGTTTGGTCACTGGAAATATTTAAATTCATTAATGGTCACTAATTTTAGTAAAAATGTTAATGTTTGGTCACTCTCCGTTAGTCTCCGTCAGCCTCCGTTAACACCGTCAGTTAAGTGCTGATATGACAGATGAAACCATCTAATCAGCCCTATTTAATCCGAAAATAATTAGACCCGACCCGCCACATCACTAAAACCCACCATGTCATCCGATGATTGGGATCGGGGATTTTTAAGGGGTTTTTCAATTCGCCTTCCTCTTCCCCTGATAAACGCCTGTAACTGGACCGAGATTGGGGCGTCGGATTTTTCATCCCGCACAAATCAATCTATCTCCACTGTAGAAAAATTTCCATCACTTTGACTGGAAAATTATCAGAGGAAGAAAGCAGTGAATCGAGAGAAAGAAGGGCCACAAGAAGCCGGAGCCTCAACCACCATCGTATCCCCGACAATAGTTCAATCATCAACCAGCCGGAGATTTTGTCTTCCAATTCCGGCACCAAGGGTCACGAGAAGCTTGGATTGTGGCTCGGAATCACCGGCCCTTCTGTCTTCTTTCTGTCGACGTCGAGAGAAGGATGCACGGAGCTCCACTTCGACGGCAACTTCAACATGACTGAAGAAGGATCCCTGCATAGACCCAAATCAACAAATTCTCCCCAATCAGGACTCGTCGTAGGTCGAGATTCAGAAAGACGAGAGAAAGCAAATGAATCAAAAGGGTATTGGGGTGGTGGCTACCTTCGATTCGACTGCAAGAAGAATAAGAATTGTGATCCCGCCGCCGTGCCGAGTCGAGCAGTAGCAGAGTAAGCATACGGGTATTGAAGCGGCGGCGTGGCTGCCGGTGAATCTAGAGGAGCTAATTGACAAAACCCTTATCCCAGATTATCGGTGAATCTCGCGGAGCTCATTGAAGCGGCGATGTGGCTGCCGATGATGAATCTCCTATCTATCATCTGTTTCTGCTAACCCTAGAACCCCAATTCCATATTCTAGTTCAAAATCCCTTCTCACTCTGATTCCTCCCTTCGCTGTCTTCGCATGACTCTAGAATAAGCAGCAGTCGCCGCCATAGCTTGAAGCAGTAGTTCCTATGGGATCTTTGGGATTTGTTGTCGGTGATAGAAGGGGAAAGATGGGAGAGGACATTTGCAGATTTGTTTATCCTTTCAGGCTCCTCGTGATTTCCAAGACTCCAACGTACAATACAGGGACACCTTGATGGCGGCGGTGATAGGAAAAGAGGTCGGTGAAGGATGGTGATGGTCGACAGAGTTTCGACGGATCAAAATAGATCTGGACAGACTTTGTTCAGCAGGGGAGAAGCAGGTGTAGGGAAGAGAGCTGGGTCAGGTGGCCGGTTTTAATTTGTAATGGTTTAAATTGGGTTGGGTCATAGGTTAGAGTTTTTATGACATGGCGGGTCGGATTCTGGTTTTTTCGGGTTAAAATTGGGTGAGTCATCAATTTTGTTAGCCACGTCAGCAAAAAATTGACGGTGTTAAAGGAGAGTGACTAAACATGAACGTTTTCACTAAAATTAGTGACCATCAATGGATTTAAATATTTTCAGTGAACAACCATGAACGTTTTTTATAATTTCAGAGACCAACCATGCAATTAAACCCTTTCTTTCACTATTAAACCATAATTGTGTGAGCTGGAACCATCTAGATTCTAGACAATTGCACAACCCTAAATGACTCCGCCTTCGCCAATAGTTACTTCGCATTTACAAAAAAAAAAAAAAAAAAACCCCAGCCATGATGAGAAAAGGAAACTAGCAAAGCCATTTAGAAAGGTAAGGTAAGGTCAGATCACAAGGGCAGCGATTTGATATACAACTACCCGTTTCATGATTTTTTAACATCACCGTCAACAGCTTATTGAACAAAATAAAAGAACTGGAAGGGGGGCTCTATACTACTCCATCCGATTCGGGGCCCTCAGAAACCTAATAATTAAACTCAGAAAAGCGTGATCCGCAATCTTTTCTAGTCTCAAAAAAATTTGAACATATCATCCTTTGGCAAGGAATCCACTCCCTTGTAACTGTCTAAAACACAGATTATTGATTTTCGGAATTATCAGAGAGCAGGGGAACGCCAAAGATTAAAAAGCCAAGTTTTCAAGATGGGATTCCACCCGCCTCACACTAAAAGAAGAAAAAGAGGCCCTTTGTTTTACTCTATGCATTTTCCTTGGCAATCTTCTCGGCCTTGGCGATCACCTCTTCGATCCCTCCAACCATGTAAAACGACTGTTCTGGGAGGTCGTCATACTTTCCATCCAACACACCCTGATCACAGACCAACAATTATCAGCCAAACAACCTAAAATGATACGAATCAAAAAGCGACTCCACAGAGAGCAACAGTTGATGAGTACCTGGAAACTGGCAATGCTCTCCTTCAGCTCAACGTACTTGCCGGGGGCACCCGTGAAAACCTCAGCAACATGGAAAGGCTGGCTCAAGAACCTCTGAATCTTACGGGCACGAGCAACCGTCAACTTGTCATCTTCACTGAGCTCATCCATACCCAAAATGGCAATAATATCCTGAAGATTTTTGTAGTTCTGAAGAACCTTCTGCACTCCACGAGCAGTTCCATAGTGGTCTTCTCCTAGAATGTGAGGAGAAAGCATACGGGATGTGGAATCCAGTGGGTCCACAGCAGGATAGATACCCAGCTCTGAAATCTGCTCCGCGTCAAGAAAATCTCACAATTAGAAATACCACAAGCAAACAACAAAGAATTAAGACTACGTAACACTAGAAATAGGTATGTAAGGTGTCATTATGATTGCAAAATTGCACCTGTCGCGACAACACAGTGGTGGCATCCAAGTGAGCAAAAGTGGTGGCTGGAGCAGGATCTGTCAAATCATCAGCTGGCACATAGATAGCTTGCACGGAAGTAATGGAACCCTTCTTGGTGGTTGTAATACGCTCTTGGAGTCCTCCAAGATCCGTAGCAAGAGTTGGTTGGTACCCCACGGCTGATGGGATACGACCAAGCAAGGCAGACACCTCTGAGTTGGCCTACATGATAGACAACGAAGTCCACATAATGGGCAGTCAACATTTCGGATACTTTAGCAGGAAAGTCAACTAAAGAAGAAAAAGAATCAAGTAAAATTGTTTCCCACCTGAGTAAAGCGGAAAATGTTATCAACAAAGAGAAGCACATCCTGGCCTTCAGCATCACGGAAGTGCTCTGCAACAGTCAGACCAGTGAGACCAACACGTGCACGAGCACCAGGTGGCTCATTCATTTGACCGTACACAAGAGCACATTTGCTGTCAGCCTGCCAAGAATTAATATTCAAGTTAAGCAACATTAACACATACAAAACCTTAACCATACAGCAGCAAAGTAGACATACTAACCTGCTTGTCCCCAAGCTTAATGACACCACTCTCAATCATTTCTCTGTACAAGTCATTACCCTCACGGGTACGTTCCCCAACACCAGCAAAAACAGAGAAGCCACCTGTTCAAAGAATTAGCTTTAGAAAACAAGAGACTGAACCCATAAAAATAACTTGGATTCAAGGAGAACACCCAACCATGGGCCTTTGCAACGTTGTTGATAAGTTCCATAATCAGCACTGTTTTCCCTACACCAGCACCACCGAACAACCCAATCTTTCCTCCCCTCTGGTATGGTGCAAGGAGATCAACAACCTGCAACAGAGGTAAAGCAAAAAAATGGCACGTTGGTCAACTTCTGGAGAACAGATGGGGAAAACAAGACAGTATGGGTTAGCTCCATAAGCACAAACAAAGCACAACAGAAATGAGAGAACTTGTAACTCAGTTGTTAACCCGTACCTTGATACCAGTGACAAGAATTTGCTGCTCAGTAGCCTGCTCAACAAAGGATGGAGCTTCCCTATGGATGGGCAGGAAGTGCTCCGTAGCTGATGACACACAATATAACAGTTGATCAATTAACCCTCCAACCACCACAAAATAAAGAGACCAAGACGAGAGAGTTCTTACAGATGTCTCCCTTCTCATCAATAGGCTCTCCGATAACATTCATAATACGGCCAAGAGTAGCCCTGCCCACCGGCACCTGTTTGGAAATGTAAGTAAACATGGGCATCAGTTACAACAAGCATCAACCGCAGACATCAGCCAAAACATTTGCTGCCGATGAAAACCAGGTCATCAAAGTGGAATACAGCAGAAGATAACAAACATCACAAGCTAAGAATGGCAAGCACACGAACAATGAAAAACTTCGAATAAATAAATACATAGCAAACCGCAAAGAGCTCATGAATAACGGCGCATAGAACAACAAAATCCCAATCCATAATCCACGCAAACCGAGTTCATTTCCCCCAATTTCCAGGAACGAAATGGACAAGGAATTCCCTAGATCCGGAAACCAAGTGCTACGATATCCATAAATTCGAAATGGCGGTAAGAAACAACACCAACCATCTCAACCTAGAAAAATTCAACACCAGCGACCAACGGAATACAGAAAACAGCAAAGTATACACATCAAAGATGCACATATTTGGGGAAAAGACCGAAAAATGGAGTTGGACTGAGGAGCGATCAACGACTTACAGTTATGGGAGAACCGGTGTTGAGGACACGCTGGCCTCTGACCAAACCTTCAGTACCATCCATAGCAATGGTCCTGACCATATTCTCTCCCAAATGCTGGGCCACCTCCAAAACCAGACGGATCGAGTGATCCAACACCTCGAGAGCGGTCAAGATCGGAGGCAGACCCTCAGTGAATCGAACATCGACGACAGCACCAATCACCTGGCACACCTGCCCGATCGCACCTTTCCCGGTGAAATCATCGGTGATCTTACCTACATCCTTTCCACCGGTCTTCACGGGAGCCGATTGCGGAGGGGCCGCGGCGGCGGCAGAGGTAGCGTACTCAGAGGTACGGGTGAGGAGGTAGCCATAAGGAGATGCGCGGCGGGCGGATGCAGGGGAAGGGGAGAAGAGTTTAGGGTTGGAATTCGACGACAACGCGGATCGCCGCGAGGCCGATCGGAGAAGCGACGATACGATTCTGCGTGAAGCCATGGACGGGGCTTCAGAGAGAGAAAAGAGATAGGAAAGGGATGGTTTTTTTCGCTAGGGTTTGAAGGGACTGACCCCTCTCCGCTCCTATATAATTACAGCAGGTCCGCTTCGGGTTGATCTCCGGATCTCCACTTTTTACTGTTTTACTATTTTGTTTTTATGTTTATTTGCACTTTTCAGTTTCCACTTTTCCCTTGTGGCTTGGAATCGGTGAAAGAGTCATCAAAGCTTTGCCTAATGACACGGAGCCCTTATTTTTATCCCCCTACCTACCTAGGGGTGTTCAAACGGTGTGGTTACCATGGTAACCGTTTTAACCAGTACTATTTGGATAATTTGGTTTGGTTTGGTTAAAGTTTTTAGCTTGTTTGGTTTAGGTGGTTTGGTTTGGTTTCAGACACTCCTAACCAGCCAAACCAAATTAACCAGATAAATAATTAGTTATATATCTAATATATACACATACTTAATACTTTGAATAACCACTCAAGAGTTAAATGTTCATCTTTTTATACTCATAAAATATAAAGCTTGATATTAGATAAATCTCATACATTATGTTGGATGAAAACTTGGTCCTTTTTAGCCTATGAAAATTGCTAAAAGACTAAGTCAATTCAAACAAACACAACAATTCATTAATCCATACCATTGTGATAAATTTTTGTTAGGTGAATACTTCTATACTAACCGTAAGATAATTGTCTTAGTTGCATGTATTTATGTTAAGGGTCAACTATAACTATGTGTTGATTGCCATGTTTTATTCATTATATAAATTGTGAATTGATAAATTAATCGAAAATTTTCTCACTTGATGATAATATGATTTTATATTAGTTAATCTGGTTAACCAATTAACCAAACCGAATAAACTTTAGTTTGGTTAATTTGGTTGTTGTATTAGTTTGGACGGTTTGGTTATGATATTGCATTCCATGGTTAATGAAATGTAGCCTTATTTGGTTTGGTAATAACCATGGTAACCATTTGAACACCCCTACCCCTACCAAACGAAAATATGGATGGTAGTTTGGATTTGGTTATTTGTCAAAAAGGTTATTTGTCAAAAATTATCATCCTCATCAGTCATCACATACGATGAGTTGTTTGGATGAAATATTACTGCTAGTTTGGCTCTGTTGTAGTTTTTACAGAAGTCGCTTCTGGCTGGAGTTTTTAGATAAGTACTTTTCAAGAAAAGCAGTTGAGTGTTTGGCTGTAAAATTATTAGAAGTCTTTTTTAATACGAGAGGTTGTGTAAAATGACTATATAGGACTTATAATATAAAATATGAATAAAAATATTAGACAATAAAAAATAGTCAAAATGGATCTAAACAGCTTTTCGCAGAAGCTCCAAATCGGAGCTTCTGCTTTTATGTTATACAAAAGCGTTTTTTCGACTTTTCAAAAGCCGAGCTTTTAGAGGTGTTTGGCCCTGCTTCAGCTTTTGAAGCCGAAAAACACTTCTAAAAGCTGGGCCAAACATAGGCTACGTGTGATGAGTTGTTGTAAAAAAAATTGTATTATTGATGTGGTATTTGCATTCAAATTTGTTAATTTACCAAATTGTCCTTTTTAATCTCATTTTTTTCTCTCTTGGTCACGTGTATGCATGCTTGGTCAAAATGCCTTTTTTTCTAAACAATTAAACTTTGATGAATCCGAATGATAAATAATCACTCGGACATTGCTCCCCCTAGTCCATGTTAAGATGCAAAGATAGAACTCTAGTGTGGTAGGTAGGTTCATATACCATTAAGAGATAAAGTTAGCTAGGAAACCAATTCAAGTGCTTCATAATCTGCTTAATCGATTGACTAAGGCTTGCATAACAACTCCCTCGAAAGTTAATTCGGAACGACGAAAAGTAACCAATCATAACGAATCATGGCACTTTTTCGATGATCAAGGGATTAGCCGAAGTGCCAAGAGTGGGCTATAAGGAAATTTATTCCTTCTAGGTCAACTTGTCCCTAAATTGAGGGATTTTATCAATAACACCCAATTCCTATGAAGAATACCTCAATCATTATATAAATCACGAACCCAACACACATAGAGTTCAAATCCAACAATCTAAAACATCTTGGACTAGGATTCACAACATTCAAGTGAAATAGGAGACTACTCCATAGCTAGAAGAGAAAATACACCTAGAATAGAGAAGAAAACCATAGCAAAGTGTTTGCCTCTTCCTAGATGCTTGATTCAACCCTTGGAGAAGAAATCAGCCTTCATCTAGCCTTGGGTAGGTGAAATTCTCCTTCCTTCCTTCTTAGCTCGTAGCACTCTCTCTCTCTCTCTCTCGTTAAGCCTTGAAGAAGAAGCCTCTAATATCTCTTTCACAGTCTCATATCATGCCCGTGAAGTCTACGTGAAACCGTGATTTCAGAGTGAAACACGTCATTTTACTTAGAACTTCATTGGCTACTTGTTGGCATCACTATTTGGAGATCGTGATCTTGATACTACTCGCGAGACATTCGAGGCTCCTAGAAGTGTGCAGACTTCACGGTTTACTTGTCCACTTAACAGTGTGCACCCGTGATAATTGCTCTACAACCATGATCCTTGCACTTTCGACCGTTTTGCTCCATTTTTGCCCTCTTTCGTCCTAGTTTCGATCCCAATGCCAATATAACCTACTAAGGTCTGAAAAATGACACAACACGAAGAAACCTCCGCGTAAACTAGCACCAAGGACGTTGCAAATACATCAACATCACAGATCAAGGGGTACAAAAGTGTGTAATCTAACCCTCATCAACCCCTCCCACACTTGAACGCTTGCTTGTCTACTCTTGTAATTGGGTCATTGCGATTACGGGCTGGATGTCTAATTGTCCAGGTGGTAATGATGCTTAACACATGCAAGTCGGACAGGAAGTGGTGTTTCCAGACAAGATCTATATATACGCATAGACTCATGGAGGTAGGACAAGAACGATGGTATGCACTATCAATCATCAGTGGTGCCTCGAAAATTATCAAAGTCGGGTAAATTTTACTTCCATTTCTTAGTGTCATGCACACACTCGGTTGAGGACATTGTCAAATAAGGAGGTCTAGACACTTCATGTGTGCAATAGGGGACTCATAAAAAAAATATGTGAAAATCCAAGGACTCCATGTTGGTGATCCCACTTTTCAAAAAAAAAAAAAAACTCAATTTTTCGAGTCTCAACTTAAACTTGCCATGCACATCACCACACTTTGCAATTTTTCAAACCAAGGTCTCTCTCTCTCTCTCTCTCTCTCTCTCTCTCGTGGCCAAGAGCGAAAGGAACATTGCCTTCCCTATCTCTGCCACATGTGGGGAAAATGATGGTCAGATTCATTGCCCAAGCACCACTTCCCTACCTGCACTCCATGTCTCAAGGATAGACAGGTTGCCACGCCTGTCGGGTGCAAACGAGAGTTGAGGTCTCTTGACTCGCTTAAAGGGACACTATCTCCTCTCCATATGAGTCTGTGAGGAGGAGAGGCGTTTGGGTGATGGAAGGTAGTGAAGATGATCAGAACGCTAAAAATCTATACGAACCCCAAACACAACCTCAAATGGCACTCTAGACCAAGAGAGGAGCCCTTCGACGGCTCAAATCAAACACTATGCACAGTTGCCTCTCACGTAAGAACCTCAATTTTTCAACAAAAAAATTCAAATTGGAGCACGTTTTGCCAAACATTTGGAGTCCTAACTTTCGGAGTCCCACACACATGTCCTAACCTCCATAACAAACACTTTCACACAACCGAGAGGAAAATCGAAGTAAAGCCACTCATTATCAAGAATTCCCATTGCAACACTCTATCCCCTGTACTGCACATCATCATAATATTTAAACAATTCAAAGGCCACTGAGCAATATCATACTAGGAACAATTGTGATTGGAACCCCTATAATGTACAATTTCATGCAACAATCTAGGTTCCAAAACAACTCTAAATATCGATCATTCATCATTCATTCATGCACAAGTGGTTGGAGCCCTCAAATTGTAGAAATTTGGCAAACACAAGGCTACAACACATTCAAATAGGCCATTTGCATGCCAATCACAATTACACCCCCCCCCCACACACACACACTTAAGCACGACATTGTCCCCAATGGAGCAAAAATAAGAGTGGAACGAAGTTACCGTATAAATCTTGCGAGTGAAAGTCGAACTCGAGATGGACCAATTTCGAGGGGGAGAGAGCTTCACAAGGAGATAAACACAAACACATACTCTCACAAGACGAGGTTATTACACAATAACATTACTCAAAATCATATAAAAGAAAACAAACACAATAGTAGTACTAGTTCAACACACAAAATCACAATCTAAGAGTTTATAGTCAAAGAGACGAGAAAGTAGGTGAAAGTACTATGGTGCCAACACACTACTGAGAACAGGCACGCTCCTCCACCAAGAGGTGTAGATGTCTCCAGTAGTCTCGCTCTCAAGCTATCTGGGATGATACACTAGAGAACTAGCCGTTAAGAGCATAGATCGGGTCTCTAGGTCACCCGATGGAGAATATGGTCTGGATCCGGTTGATGATGAAGCCCCATGGTGACCACGGAGGCGTGTTGTGGTCGTGCTCTTCGTGGTGGCTCTGGTGGTGTAAAGAGACCTTCTTGTATCGATAACGCTCAAAACTCGGAGTAAGTGCATGGAACCCAATGTATCCTCTTGAAAGTTCGTAGTGTGACTTACCTTGGTGCAAATACCAAGGTCGATGTTGTGAACCGAGAAATCTTGGTGATGTAAGGTCCCAAATGCATGATGCGATTGCACCAGTTCCTTGTTGCCCTGGAAAATGAAGTTTCCAAAACCGAGCCAATGTGAAAACGCTCATGGACATCAACCATCATGGCAAAAGCTAGCAAAGCCCTTTTAGTGACCTTGTTAAACGACCAATCACTTGGAAGGAGGGAGCGAGCAAGCAATGTCTTGATGATGCGCCATTGAGGTTGAAGTGTCGTCGTCGTGGTATTTTTAGAGTCATAACGATCTCATCGGTGTTGTGGTAGGCAAACCCTATCGAACATGTATTAGAGTCGAGGTCATTGATGAAATCAACCTCATGGTCATCATGTCCCAAGTATCCAACCCCATGGCTCGCGTTAGTTCGTTGCAACTCATCTCCCGGATTTGGCCTCCCATTCTGAACACGACATGTGCCCTATCGTGGTCGGAAG